ATCGGGGCGGGTGGATTGACCAGAAACACATTTTATTGCAAGGCATTCAAGTTGGGGGCATCGTTCCAAGAAACGGAACAGCGGGGTGACGTCGACATCGCGCAAAACATCAATGGATAGATGGACCAGATGAGGGAGCTTCGCGTGTCCGTATCCGGTCCTCAGGAGAGCCATTTCGCTACTCCAGTAGAGACTGAGGGTGCGAATAGTATCTGGGGACGCTATCTGGAGTGGCTCCTCGCTGGCTTTAGGCACCTGTCGGGATGTTATCTTCAAGCTTCCCAGCCTCAGGAAGCCATCCCAGGCGACGATGTCGCAATGGAAGAGAGTAAGGTCTTTCAAACGCGACAAAGACAGCAAGGTGGTTCGGAAGGCAGTGTCAATGGTAAACCGCCGAATATCCAGAGCGGAAAGATTCTGGTAGAGGCCGAGTGTAGTGGAAAAGGTCGAGGCGACCCTGTCCGATATAGCATCGAAGAGGTGAATGTTTTGGATCTCGGGGTGGTAGCGACTGGCGGGGCCATTCATGAAGGCGACCTTCCAGGACCGAACGAATGGCGCGTAGGGACTCTGTATCAATCGATCCAGCCGAACTGCGGTCCGATGCAGATGGCGAACTCGGTCCATCCAGTTATCCCGGCCAAGTCCCCGCCTCAATGCTTCCACGTCGAAGGATTGGCTCCGGAAGACAAGCGGCAGGGAGATGGATCGAAAGAGCCGGCACACCAACGAGAGTCGACGAAGTTGCTGAAGAGAGCATAGAGTCCAACACGCTAGCCAGACCTCCACGGGAAGGAGGTGCAGATAGGCGATGGGTGGGTGCATGCTCGTCGTTGTGCAGAGTGAGTAATGGACGCAGTGCCATCACATCACATGTGGTCTCGGTTGCGCTTCAAGGTTGCACCCTAACAAATCCAATCAACAACGCCCGTCCTTTGTTGATGCGAACTTGAAGCCGTGCCAGGCGATGTTAGTTGTGTAAATTGCGGAGGTACACCGACACAAAGAGCCAAAAGAAATTAGAGTTTAGGAATTACAGAACGCCAGCGGGGTACCTGTACTTGGATATTGAAAAAAAAATGCTGCTCAGTCTCGACGCGCTATGGAACTCAAAAAAGTGGTTACGCCCGAGTGTGTGCCGTTCAACAACGAGGTGAAATCGCGAATTTATCCCGCCCGCCCTCGTCGGGTTCACACTCACTTCCAGGAACGGGATCGACTAGGAAAATACGCTCGTCGCTGGCAGGGGACAGGGAGACTTTGAACTGCCCTCCGTATGAAGATTTTATAAGTTGTTATATAATATTGTCACGGAGCTTTACTATGCTGAGTACGTAGAGACAGCTTACCAAAATCTCTTATCACCGTGACATGGAGAACAGCACTGTGCCACTGCCACACGCCAGCCTCTTCGACTTTGAGATGCTACTTTATCCGCGTTGCATCCTGGCGAGGGATTCAATTTTTTGGAGACTTTGAATGTGGTGGGTTTCAAATGTGCTATCCTGTTCCAAGCAGGAATCCCTTCCGGTCGAAATCCGAATTGAGCGCGCCTGGTCGGACACGACGTGACGCGACGGTCATGTGGCACGCGTCACCATCAGTTAGTGACCAATCAGTGACACTCACGTCTTCCTTCTTGCCACCGCCGCCGCGCCGTAACTTTTCGATTTGAGCAGGTAGCTCGCCTCACAGTATCATGTTTCCTTGTTCCTAATCGAACATCTCAGATGAACACCTTCAAGTGCTCTGAATGTGGCGCTGTCGGTGATGGCGCCGCTCGGACAGAAGTCACAGAACCATTTGATTTCGACGCGGCTGTTAACATCGAACCACGCCATCACCAGCTACTAAGATAGATGTCAGTCACTCCCTGCGAGCGTTCACGTGATCAAAGTGTGACAACGATAAGGCGTCGGCCACAAAACATTGGGCCACAAAGTAAAGCCTGGAAATGATTCATTTGGATGGTTAAAAGAGATCCTCGGTCTCAGAATCTGAAAATATTTATTATTGATGGAGCCTTATAAGATTTTTTTAACCCATTTTTTTCGACCACAGAAATGGTTGTTTCGGTGATTGGGCACCTTTTGGGATTTTCTTCGCGCGAAATTTGCCGTCTATGTAAGGTTCCCACGCACCATATCGGGTAATGGCGCCTACAACACACCTGGCGGTGACACCCGTGTAGGCTCATCAATGCACGGAGGGTCGGTCTGGTTGTGTCCGACAGGTTTCTAAACCTCACACTGTGATTTCCTCGAGTCCAAGAATTGGTTATTTTTATCCGAAAAAAAAACTCCTCAGAACCATCGAAAACATGCGAAAAAACGTAGGTTGTGTTTTGACCCTCGAGATTTTGCCGTCACACGTCATGCGTGACACATCACGTGAACGCTCGTAGGGAATGACTGACGCCTATCTTAAAGACTAACGAGCCACCAGAGGGCTCGGAAATGACCTTCATCCAGTCGGTGATCTCGACCAGTGGCGCCCGTCTGGCGTTTCTGGAGACGGAGATATCGCAACTCCGGGATCGGCTGGAGCGGTTGGAGGAGGAGCAGACCTCGCTGTCGAGATATCGTGCGCAAAATCAAGCGATCCTCTCCCCACTTCGACGGATGCCACCTGAAGTCCTTGTCGAGATATTCTCGTGGACGGTGCCATCAGTCCGCGATCGGCGGGCCCGTTGCAGGTTCCACATGATGGATGGTCCGTGGGCGTTGACACACGTCAGTGGCCTTTGGCGCTCAGTCGCCGTATCGACTCCTTCCTTGTGGTCGCTGCTCGTCATCGTGTGGATGCCGACATCCGCATATTCCTTACCCCTCGTTAAGCTCCAACTCCAACGCGCCCGGACGATCAAGTTACATTTCTTGGGACACGAGGCCGTTCATTCTAGATCCCAAATCGAGATGTTTCAATTTTTAGCAGGGTGGTCGTCATGTTGGGAGGAGTTTCGCCTCCGCTTGACACCGGATCTGCTTCCTTTCCTCACCGAGCTTCGAGATCGCGTCCCTTCCTTGCGGAGATTGTTGATCCAGGATCCTTCTGGCATCCAGACAGGAGATGCACTACGGACCATCGATTGCTTCCGCACCGCACAGTCTCTGGTCGATGCAGGGATGTATAGCCTATCTCGTACCTTACCAATCCTCCTCCCTGCGCATCAGTTAACTTACTATTATCTCTCGGGCGCATGGAATATGCATCACAGCATTCTGAAACTCGCCCTGAATCTTGTTCAGGCCCGGGTTGACGTCAAATTCGACGAGGGACCCTGGCCGCCTTTCAGTCAAGTCGTTGCCTTACTACATCTCCGCCAGCTTTATGTGTCTCGCGTGGACATCTTGACGTATCTCAGGGCACCGGCCTTGCAGGAAATCACCATTCAACACACACTGAATGATGATCCGACTCTCCTGCGTCACCTGGAGGCCTTCATCGGGCGCTCTGGCTGTACCCTGCGAAGACTTTGCCTCAGATCGTCCCCTGGCGCCAATGTAACTACCCAGATCCTACGAAAATACCCATCCGTCACCGAACTTGGGATTGTAATCAACCCTATGCACCCTTACGATTTTGCCGACACTTTAATCTCACAATTGACCATCCCGGGCCCCACCGGCGGCGGGACTATCTCCCCACAATTGTATATGCTCTATTTCGGATGCCAGCGTTCAAGCTCCATCAATCACACGCTCTATCTTTCCATGTTACAGTCGCGGTGGAAGGCGGAGGGTTGTTCCCTCCAACGCGCCGCATTGCTAATAGAGTCGGGCCCAAAACCGGATGCCGCGACTCTGGATGGGCTGAATGCACTCCGACAAGATGGAATGGATGTTGCGATATCGTACGGACAGGATGCGGTGGAGGAGATGCATAGTTGGCCCTGCCTTCCACGTTGGGCCTGAGCCACGAGTGAACTTTAGTTGGCGATTCTAATTGTGCTGATGGTATTCGGCAGGTTCCCTCGTATCCACATTTCCGCCCCGGGGTGTTCGTCTTCGGAACAATTCCAGGGTCATCTTTACTCGTCGTATGCTTATCAACACCGGCCCGAAATCAATGGAAAATCTGTCGCAAAATCGTGATCATCTTTCATTCTCATGTCGAAAATTTCCTCAATGTTGCCGGGTCCAACCAAGGTTTCAACCAGCAGAGTAAGGTCCAAGAGTGCCCTTCCCGCCGGAACTCCGAGTCAGGTCTGAGCTTTTGGTGAATATTAAATACACGGTACGCTGTGTCGTTGTCGCGCTTGTCTGCGGGGGGAGAGGTCGTAGTTGATGGCGCCCACCTGCGGTTACGCGTCCATTGTCCCCAATACAGAGAGCGATTCCATAAGCGGATCACGGCGATCGTGATGATCTGCTCCGGCATTTTCGGCCGACAGTCTCTTCCACCAATGCCACCAACAAGCCACGAACGGCGAGGTCTTCTGGCCTGGTTTCAAATCGTCGTTCTTGATCACTGCAGGGAAAGCGAATAGGCACATCAAGTTCTTTGCTACGGACAGCTCCCCCCACACATCAGACGTGTCGGCGCTTGATCTGATGTATGATTTGGTCCTTACTAACCGTTCTTTTCCAGTACGGCATCTCAACTCATCGCGCTCCGGACGCCGATGGGCTCCTTGCTACATTAGTAGTATAACTCAGGTGATTCGCCAAGAACTCGTGTTTCTCTGTCCTTTTTGCCTAGGTGGGTTCACTTCTATTTTTTGCTGCTCTAACCAAGCTCATTATCAGAGAGAGGCCCGGTAGCGGATGGTGAGGTAGGTTTAAATTTCGCGGGTTAAACCAAGCTGATAAATACCAGTGGAAGGCCCGGTAGCGGGAGCTCCGCACCTGCGCTGGCTAGCTCCTCTTCGAGGATTATAAAGCAGAAGGTGCTCGTTCGATTCGAGCCCGGGCCATCAGCGCGTTCGTGTCTTGTTTTCATTCTTCGATGAATTGGATCGATGTTTACTGGATCAACCGTGCTCATAACTATGATATGAAGGCCCGGTAGCGGATGGTCCGCGCCTGCATTTGGTTCAGGACTCGGCATGTAGCGTGCAGAAAATGCTCGTTCAATTCGAGCCCGGGCCATCTCACAGCGGCCGCTATTTTTTGATCTCTCAGTGAATTGGATTCTGCTTTGCTATCTTAATTAATTAAGCTTATGATAATTATATTTAGTCCCGGTAGCGGATGGTCCGCACCTGCACTGGATCATGTGTTTCTGAACTAATATCAGCAGGGATGCTCGTTCGAATCGGGCCCGGCCATCTAGGGTTCCAGACTCTCGTTTTGTTCCCTGGGTGAGTTGGATCCGAATTTTACTGAGTTAACCAAGCTCTTGGCCAGCAGAGGAAGGCCCGGTAGCGGATGGTCCGCACCTGCACCCAGTTCGCTGCAATACCATTCGATCCGCAGGAGATGCTCGTTTGATTCGAGCCGGGGCCCGGGCCATGAATGTGCTTGAATCTCTCTTTTCTTGTTCCTCGGTGATGCGATGAGATGTCGGCTGGGTTAAGTAAGGTCCTAACCATGAGATTAAGGCCCGGTAGCGGATGGTCCGCGCCTGCACTGGAATGGTGTTATTGTCTTGTTCCTCGGTGAATTGGATTCCAATTTCTCTGCTCTAATCAAAGTCCTAACTATGATAGAAAGGCCTGGTATTGGGAGGCCCGCACCTGCACTGTATTTTGTTAGCGTAGCGCCTCAGTTACAAAGTGGTAACTCTAGTTGTTATTATAATCTACCTGTTAGCGTAGCCTACAGGATAATTAGAAATGGAATAAAGTATCAAATGAACGGACGTACGCCTCAGTTACAAAGTGGTAACTGAGGCTCACTAGCGACTCTCGTAAACTGTATAGTAGAGGGATGACGGGATGAATGAAAGGATTAATGAACGTGAAGTAAAAGATAAGATATACCGCTAACATATTTTGCAGAGCCTCAACGATGATAAGCAGAAGAGGCTCGTTTAAATCGTGCCCAGGCCATGAGGGACATGCAAGGCCTTTTTACCTCTCAGTGAGTTTAAATTTCGCTGGGTTAACCAAGGTCCTAACTGTTATATGAAGACCCGCTCGCGGATGTTCCGTGCTTGAATACCATGTGTCTCTACAACCATGAGCAGGAGTTGCTCGTTCGATTCGAGCCTGGGCCATGCTGTATATCTGCCACTTTTTTACCTCTCAGTGGTTTCGAGCTTTGCAGGTATACCGAAGCTCCTCACTGTAATATTAAGGCCTGGGAGCGGATGGTACGCGCTTGACTGGATATCTCCTTCTCACTAATGATCAGCAGGAGATACTCGTTCGATCCGAGCCTAAGCATTGGATGATGAGGCGGTCGTTTCTTTTTGTCTTGTTCCTCGATGAGTTCGAATTTCGCTGGTTAAACCAAGCTCATTGCTATCAGAGGAAGGCCCGGTAGCGGATGGTCCGCCCCGGCACTGAATACTATGTTTCCTGCGAGTTGTTCGTTCGATTCGAGCCCGGGCCATATTGTACATGTTTTTCCTATTTTTATCCCTAGGTGACTTTGCGCGGATTTTGGACGGGGGTAGAGTATTCCGCTGTGCCGTTTCTGGTCAGGAAGCGCATCGGCGCGATGTGATGCGAGAAAGGGTCGTTGGAGGCAGATGGTTGAACTGGCGTTCAAGTCGGTCCGAGTTGGACGTTGTAAACGTGCCCTCTATGTTGGGTGGGTGGATCAATAAATCTATACCTACGACAGAACAAAAAGCTGTTTTTGAGCTGTGCAAGAGCTCTTTTCGATTTTCTGATGATTTTCGGTTCATTTCCTGCTTCGGCAATTGTGTGGCGGTGCTGCATCGCTTACTGCGGCCACATCTCCTACTTACACCCTCATCTACTCGGCTTTCGTGAACTGTCTACGACATCTAGGGCGCTACCTATGATACTAGTACTGATACACCTCCCGGAGCTGATAACCACGAGTAGAAGGCCCGGTAGCAGTCTACGCTGGACAGCCCCTCTTCGCGGAATATAAGCAGGAGGTGCTCGTTCAATTCGAGCCCGGGCCATCAGCGCGTTCGTCTCTTGTTTTCGTTCCTCGGTGAATTGGATCGATTTTTGCTGGATTAACCGTGCTCATAACTATGATGTGAAGGCCCGGTAGCGGATGGTCCGCAACTGCACTTGCTTCGGGAACCAGCACGTAGTATGCAGAAAATGCTCGTTCGATTCGAGCCCGGGCTGTCGGTTTGGTCGACCTTTTCTCCCGTCTCAGTGAGTTGGATTTTGCTGGTCTAATCAAGTTCATGAATATTAGATACTATGGGTGACCCCTTAATTGGCCACTCTAGTTAGTTAGCCACTTACAAATATAAGGTCCAATACTGAGAGATATGAGAGGCTTGGGCTCGAGGGAGGGAGTACGACCCCTGGCGTCCCTCCATGCCAAATTTGGGCGCAGATTGATGAGTTGATCCCAAGCTGTGGCGTGGTTGATCGCGGGCCGAGGAGTGATGGCATCATTTCTTAACTCCGGGTTGGCTGCCTCGCTCGTTTCTCCACCAATTCTTTGTCAATCCACGACTTCTGGGGCTCGTTCTTCTTGCATCATCTCAGGCTCCTTTCCAGACATAGAGCCTGGCCGCCCAACGTTGTCACCCTTTCACTAAGCTCCCACGAGTGATTGCGATGTCGTGCCGAGTACCACAATTCGAGGGCCCGATATCAAATGACTTTGTTATCCTATGGGCCCAGGATTTAGAATGATCCACAGGAACTAATTCAGCTCAAGTTTTGAAATTATCCGATTATTTTATCTATTTAATGTCCCCTTCAGTGTCGTTCAATACATCAAATCACCCTGTTTCGGTGGTCCCAACACTCAAGTTTTTTCTACGGGAGGGAGGAATTGGAAGGCCAAACTGTGCATGTAGGTATGTTACCATCCTTCGCACGAAGACATGTGCATCTTATTTTGAGTCCCCATACCCGATATCTCTTGCATGACACCTGTATACATTATTACTCCCATTTCGCCTACGTCGCACCTCTTCGGAGGGAAATACTACCACCCATTCTATAGGTCAGATCTATGGTTTACGAATTCAAATTAGTCACTCTATGCCTCCATATCACTTTCAGAAACATTTAAACCTCATTGGCACGCACTACACCGCTCCGAGGCGGGTGGCCAACTAACCCGGAAATGGCTATTTTTAAGATGCGACCGGAGAAAATTCCCCCAGCCATTACAACTCAACCAAAATTCGGCCAAATGGTCCAGACGTGTTCGCAGGACCCATGCCTTCTTATAGTGGCCCGGTAGATGTTCCCAACTCATTATTAGGCTTCTATACAAGACCAAAAACGCGTAGGTGGCCAAGTAGCCAGTCACTGATAGTAATGATCGAAAGACCCGGTCGCACCTGCACTAGATGTTTCCTTTTCGAGTAAGTATGCTAAGCAGGGTTGCTCGTTCGATTCGAGCTGAATCAGTTTGGTCGATCTTTTTTTCCCTGTCTCTCCGTGAGTTGGATTTTGCTGGTGAAACGATGCGCACAACTATCAGAGAAAAACCTTGTAGCGTATGGTCCGCACCTGCGCTGGCTAGCTCCTCTTCGAGGATTATAAGCAGGAGACGCTCGTTCAATTCGAGCTCGGGTCGTGGACAATTGGTGCTGTTCGTTCCCCGGTGATTCTAATTTTGCTGGTGTCATCAAGGTCATAACCAGTATATCAAGGCTCGATGGCGGATGGTCCGCGCCTGTACTGGAAAGCAGGAGCCGCTCGTTCGATTCGAGCCCGGGCCATAAGATGAACAACCGCGACCGTTTTTCTTTTTCTCTTGTTCCCCGGTGAGCTGGATTCGACTTTTGCTGCTCTAACCAAGGTAGGAGTTACCGATTCGATTCGAGCCCGGCCATACGGAGTTCCGGCTCTCATCTTTAATCTTCGGTGGGCTCGAATTTTGCTGTTCTAACCAAGGTCCTAAGCAGTAGAGGAAAGCCCGGTAGCGGATGGTCCGCGCCTGCACTGGATATTTCTCCTTCGAAAGTAAGCAGGAGTTGCTCGTTCGATTCGAGCCCGGGCGGTGAGCGGCGTGGTGTTGTTCTTTCTTCTTGTCTTTTTCCTCGGTGAGTTGGATTCGAATTTCGCTGGGTTAACCAAGCTCATAACCAGGATATGAAGGCCTGGTAACGGATGGTCCATGCCTGCGATGGATGGTGTTTCGTGGATTCTAAGCCGGAGATGCTCGTTTGAATCGAGCCCGGGCCATGCATGGTGCCGTTCTTTCTTTGCCGCCGCAAGTTGGATCCGAATTTCGCTGGGTTAATTAAGCTCATAGCCAGGAGATGAAGTTCCGGTGGCGGATGGTCCGCACCTACCCTGGATGGAGTTTTCTCAAAGATTAAGCAGGGGACGTTCGTCCGATTCGAGCCCGGGCCATGATATAAACAGCTGCGAACATTTTTCTTTTTCTCTTGTTCCCCGGTGAGATGAATTCGACTGTTGCTGCTCTAACCAAGGCAGGAGTTAGCCATTCGATTCGAGCCCGGGCCATCCGAGGGACATCAAACACCTTTTTACCTCTCAGTGATTTCGAATTTCGCTCGGCTAACCATGTTCATAATCATCAGAACAAGGCCCGGTAGCGGATGGTTCGCACCTGCACTGAATGCTTGGGTGTCCGTGGTAATAAGCAGGAGTTTCTCGTTCGATTCGTGCCCGGGTCATGTCACGGCAGAGATATCCTTTTTCTTCTCTCTCAGTGCGTTAGATTCAGATTTCCCTGGTCTAACCAAGGCGGTAAGTATTAGAGAATGGCCCGGTTGCGGATGGTCCGCACCTGCAACTCATTACAAGTGGGTGTGCTATAGAAGTCCGCAGAAGACGCTCGTTCGATTCGAGCCCAGGCCATAGTAGTATTCGTCTCTTGTTTTTGTCTTGTTCCGCGGTGAGTTGAAATCGAGTTTTGCTGTTCTAATGAAGCGCCTCACCACGAGATGAAGACCCGGTAGCGGAAGGTCCGCACCTGCACCGGCTTCTGTGTCTCAGCAATCATGCTAAGCAGGAGACGCTCGTTTGATTCGAGCCCGGGCCATATACGGTTCAACAGTC